CACCTCCAGACCCCACTGTCATGACATGGGGACCCCCTGGATCTCCTTGCTGTGGCACAGGGCACCTCCAGACCCCGCTGTCATGACATGGGGACCCCCTGGATCTCCTCGCCATGGCACGGGACACCTCCAGACCCCACTGTCATGACATGAGGACCCCCTGGATCTCCTTGTTGTGGCACAGGGCACCTCCAGACCCTGCTGTCATGACATGGGGACCCCCAGGGCTCCTCGCCATGGCACAGGACACCTCCAGACCCTGCTGTCATGACATGGGGACCCCCAGGGCTCCTCGCCATGGCACAGGACACCTCCAGACCCCACTGTCATGACATGGGGACCCCCTGGATCTCCTTGCTGTGGCACAGGGCACCTCCAGACCCCGCTGTCATGACATGGGGACCCCCAGGGCTCCTCGCCATGGCACAGGACACCTCCAGACCCTGCTGTCATGACATGGGGACCCCCAGGGCTCCTCGCCATGGCACAGGACACCTCCAGACCCCGCTGTCATGACACCAGGATGCCTCCAGACCTCACTGCCGTGCCATGAGGCACCTCCAGACCCCACTGCCGTGATCTGGTACCCTCCACCTGCCGTCATGGGGATCCCCGGTCTCACCCTCCCCACGTGTGGCTGTGACCCACAGACAGGGCGATCCCCCCCCCCTCATGGAAACACCTGCCCGGTCCCCCACTGTCCAGCCAGGCTCAGCGGTTTTCACGTCTTCGGCATCTCTCTCCACCGAGCACGAGCGGCTGGGCGGAAGGGGAAGCCATCACCGCCCGCGCACGGCCGGGGAGGAAGGGGGCCTTTGTTTGCCCTTCCTGGCCACTCGCACGGCGGGGGAGCAGCGGCCGCCCTGGAGGGCTCCCTGGGGACGTGGGGACATGGGGGTCAGTGAGCCACAGCCCGAGGCTCAGCCCGCCGCCCTCTTCCCGCTGCCGGGCTCGAAAGCCGACGTCTGCAAAAACAATTTGCGCCGTTGCTAAAACCTAACGTGTGCTGGATGCAGGGTGCTGGGTGCAGGGTACTGGATGCTGGGTGTAGGGTACTGGGTGTCTGTCCCCTCCCACCGGTGATCCCGTCCCCCCACCAGGTTCTCAGTGAAGACCCTGCTGGAGAAATACACGGCGGAGCCCATCGACGACTCCTCCGAGGAGTTCGTTAACTTTGCCGCCATCCTCGAGCAGATCCTCAGCCACCGCTTTAAAGGTAACGGTGGCCCGGGCAGCCCCTGGTGTGTCCCTGTCCCCATCCCTGCGCTGCATGGTGGATGGGGATGCAGGCATGCACATGCTGGCACCAGAGAGCAAGTCCGGGCTCTGGCTTGGGGCTTTCCGGGCGGACGGCGTTTGCCAGCACAGCAGCCCCTGACCGCAGCCCCCTCGGTCCCCGCAGGCCCCATCAGTTGGTTCAGCTCGGATGGGCAGCGTGGGTTTTGGGATTACATCCGCCTGGCCTGCAGCAAGGTCCCCAACAACTGCGTCAGCAGCATCGAGAACATGGAGAACATCAGCACCTCCAGGGCCAAGGTCAGGAAAGTGCCAGCCCCAGCCCTGTCCCTGTCTCTATCCCTGTCCCCATCTCCATTCCTATTCCTGCCCCTATTTCCATTCACACCCTGTCTCTGCCACATGGACCCATCCCTGTCCCCATCCCCATCCCATCCCCATCCTCATCCTCTCTCTATCCTCATCCTATCTCTACCCCATCCTCACCCCATCCCCATCCCATCCCATCCCCTCCCCATCCCTGTTCCCATCCTCTCTCTGCCCCCATCCCCTCCGCCCTGCCCTCCTGCCGCCCCATCTCACCCCATAGGACCCCACAGGGTCACGGGGGAGAAACAGGAGCTGTGGGTCCCCACGGGGGGGACAATGGGGCTGAAAGCAGCTCCCAGGTGGGGACCACCCACCTGCTGGTGCCCAGAGCCCCGGGGGCAGGCGGGAGTGTGGTGGGGGGGGCACCCGATGGTGGCACCCGTTCTCAGGGCTGCCCCACGGGGCAGTGCCTTGCAGGGCCGGGCTTGGATCCGCGTGGCGCTGATGGAGAAGCGCATGTCCGAGTACATCTCCACGGCCCTGCAGGACACGCGGACCACCAGGTGAGCGGCCCATGGCACGGCCGGCCGTGGCCACGCGCATGCCTGCGCCGCCCTGGGAGCGGTAACGGTGTGTGGGCACTGCGGTGTGTTTTGGGGTGCCAGTGGGTGCCCACGCAGCCACGTTTTTTTCCCCGCAGGAGGTTTTACGATGATGGGGCCATCATGCTGCGGGATGAATCCATGGTGCTCACGGGGATGCTCATCGGGCTCAGCGCCATCGACTTCAGGTAAGGGCGGGCGGCGCGGTGGGACACGGGCACCCTGCCCCGACTGCGTCCCCCCCGCCAGCCCCCTGGGGCTGCCCTGATCCTCTTGCTCCTTCTCCTGCCACCGCTCAGCTTCTGCCTGAAGGGCGAGGTGATGGACGGTAAAACGCCCGTGGTCATCGACTACACGCCCTACCTGAAGTTCACGCAGAGGTAAGAGCCGGCATGCCCTCCCTGGGGTGGGGAACCCACCGCCTCTCCCCTAGTACCCCAGTGGGGCTCAGCTGGGCTCCCCCCTGCCCCTGCATGCCAGCCCCCCCACCACAGTGCCATCCCTGCTGAGCCCCCATACCCCCCAGCTACGACTACCTGAGCGAGGAGGAGGAGCGGGGCAGCGTGGAGAGCAGCACGAGTGAGGACAGCTCCCCCGAACACCCCTACCTGCCCCTGGTCACCGACGAGGACAGCTGGTACAACAAGTGGCGCAAGATGGAGCAGAAATTTCGCATCGTTTATGCCCAAAAGGTACCAGAAGCTGGGATGGGGCCATCCGGGTATCAACCCCTGCTGGGATGTTCCAGCCTGGAGCATCTCCCCCACTGCATCCCCGCTGCTGCAGCCCGGTGGTACCCGCAGCCCTTCATCCTACTGCTGCGGTGACCCAGTCCTCTCCTTGTCACCCTGGGTGGCCCCGAGGATGTAGTGGGGGGGGGGGGGGGGGGCGGGGGCGCCGGCAGGGGC